CCGGGGCTGAGGCGGGGGGTCCCGCCGCGCGGGAGCCCGAGCCCGGGGCAGCCGCCGCCTCATTAGCAGCGCCCCGCGGCCGCAGAGCGGCTGTAGCCGGGAAGATGGCGAGTCGCCCCTGCCTCCTGCTCCTGCTCGGCGCCTTGGGGGCTCTTAGCTGTAAGTGGCGGCGCTTCCCTCCTTCCCGGGGGCCTTGCTGGGACCCCTCCGGCCGTGGGGCCGTGCACGGGCCGGGAGAGCCGGGGGGGTCCCGCTCTTCGCCTCCCTCCGCTCGGGCAGGGAGCGCGGGGCAGCGGGATCCCTGCCGTCTCCTCACCCCTCGCAGCCCCAGGGTCCTGGAGTGGGAGGGGTAACTGCTTGCTTGCTTGTGCTCACGCTCTCGTTTTCGCTTTCTTGTTTCATGGCACTTCTGCCTCCAGGCAGCTGCTGCTCCAGAGACCTAGGGGAAAAGGAGGGTGGGAAGGGACCTGTGCAGGTCATTTAGTGCAGCCCCCTGCTCCAAGCAGGACCAGCCGTAAGTCATCTTAGACAAAGCTTTGTCATAGCTGGCCTCCAAGGATGGGGAGTCTGCCACCTCTCTGGGATGGGGGACTGGTGCCACCTTACTCAGGTGGGGCACATGCCTCCCCCACCCCCCTTGGGTCTCCCCTGGCTGATTACACGACTCCCCTGCAAGTCCCCACTCCCAGGCCAGCACTTGCAGGGGGGCACTGGTGCTCCCCCCCCCCAGCCCATCGCCTGAGTGGGGAGTGTCAGTTCCTGTGTTTCACCACCCTCCTAGGGAGAAAGTTTTTCCTAATATCCAACCTCAACTTGCCTTGCTGCAACTTGAGATTGTTACTCCTTGTTTTATAGATGCTGGGGCTGGGAAGGGACCTTACAAGATTATCAGGTTCAGCCCCCTTGCACTTAGGCAGGAAAGACTGCTGGGGTCGGATGACTCCAGCATGGTGAGTGGCAAGATGCTTTTTGAAGATTGTGGGGGTGGGTGACTGTACCACCTCTGTCATCTGCTACCACTGAAAACAGTCTCTCTTTTCCAGTGCTTTACTGCCCTGCTCCTGAGAGTGTTTTTCTCTAACTTAAACTCCCTCTTTGAAATCATAGGATTCCTAGAACGTGAGGGTTGGAACATACCTCAGCAGGTCATCTAGTGCAGTAGTTCTCAACCTTTTTTGTATTGGGACCCGTGTGTGAACGTTGATGGACAGTCCTGACCCAATGCTGCTTGCTCCCAAGCCACTGCCCCTGTTCCAGGCCCCAGCCCCCCAGTGTGGGGGGCAGGGGGTGGGTGTATGCGAGGCATGGAGAGCCCCAAGCAGCCCCTTACAGGCTAGGACTCTGCCAGCCTGCAAGAGGAAAGTCATAGTTTCCCACATTTTTTCTCCTTTAAAGGAGAATCCATTTTTTAAGTTGGTCGATCCATTTTTAAAGTTTGTTTATGACCCTTTCATATATTCTTGCAGCCTGCTTTTGAGTTGCAACCCATGGGTTGCGAAACACTGATGTAGTACAACCGCCTGTTCAAAGCAGGACCATCCCTAACTAGATCATCCCAGCCAAGGTTTTGTTTAGCCAGGCCTTAAAAATCTCTGGTTCTCTTGCCATTGGGGGGGTCTCACCCTAACAGGGCTCACATTGCTTTTGAAAGGATCTGAAGGCACCCCTGGGTGCTGTAGCAACCTGGAGGAACATACTGGTGCCACTGGAAGACAACCAGCAGAGCAATTAGAAACTTAAGTTGTTTTTTTCCCATGAGACCAACCTGCTTAGTTGTCCCCTAGATTCTTGTTGCTGCTGTCATCCTGGTGGCAGCTGAGTGATGCTTGGCGTAATCAGCAGTATAATGCAAATGTTGCCTTTCTTAATACGGAGCTGATTTCTGCATTCCTTTAATCCCCATAGCTGCTTATAGCCCTACGTAGCTTTAGCACAGCTTCAGGTCAGACCCCAGAGTCTGAAACTATTCTTTTCCTTGACTCCTGCAGCTGAAGCCAAAATATGTACCCAACATAGAAAGAAGAACAAACGATAGCTTCAGTACAACTGTGGGGAGCATATAGTGAAGCTATTGTTTGTTCTTTCTTTGTTCAATACATATTTTGGCTTTTAGATGCTGGCAGTCAAGGAGAACAGTAGGTTGGGTCTCTTAGGACCTGATTTGACGCTCAACTACAGTTGTTGGAGCTCTACACTCATATGCAGCCTGTTAAGCAGGCTTGTGGTTAACCAAGATAGTGCTTTTACCCAGTAATGCAGCTTTTCAGAATATTAGTTTTTCCTAGAAATTAACAGGTGGGAGCCAAATATTTTTGCATTTCTGTAAAATGGTTTGAATGCATTATGCCAATGGAAAAACAAAACTGGATTTTGCAAGGCCAGAAAGGCAACACAGGTGTTTTTGTAGCTTTTCAATCATTTTCTTAGCTCACTAAAAAAGAACAAGAAAGGGCATAATAAAATGAATCTGAAAAAGCTTGCCTGACTTAGAGGGCAGGCTGAACATAAGTGTGAGATGCCAGAAGATAGGAAAACACAGCTGTAGATAAACGGTAGATTAAAATGCAACAAAATATTTCAGGCATCTGATAAGACAATATCATATGTAGAACTTATTTTACTGCATGCCCAAGATATCATACCAGGCATCTTGGTGCCTCCTTAAATGTTCTCACTTTAGCAAGGAGATTTAATATCTGTTTCTTATTATATAAACAGTGTTGGGATGTTTGGGATGTTTGTAGCAGAATCTTGCTAATTTAACATGGTTAGCTATGGTTATACCTTCTGAGGTATATCCTTATATATCAATAGTAGTCTCTGAGGTTTCTATCTACATGGTTGTCCCTGTCCTGTCTGAACATGGAAGGAAATGAAGTCTTCAGTATCCTTTAGTGGTAGGGTTGGGTCAGAGATGGAAAAGATGGCCATGATCGCACACATTATTGGTTCTTTCCTTTTCTCATTCTCTTAATACTTCTGTCAGTAGGACTCTTAAACCTAATAAGTCAGTCTTTCTATATTTGTGGACAAGTGTGGCGTTTGGTGGTCAGTTTCTTTTGGTGGGTGCCTACCCTTAATTTAACTTCCTGCCTTTCTAGTATTTGGAAAGAGGTTTAAAAGCATATCCATGTTCTTTTAAACTGATACACAGTCAGTTTTCCCTCCATCTTAATGCACCTTTTCTTTTTCTTCAAATCTCTCTTTTGGATGAGTGGGAGTAGAGAACTGACTGATGTTGCAGGGATGTGGCAAACCTTACCCTATGTATACTGATGATGCCAGAGTGAACTCCTTAAGAGTTGGTATTCTTCAAGTGGTGTGGAAGTCCCCCAGAGTCCTCAGAGGGCTCCTGAGTTCTCCAGGTAGCAGATACAAATCTACAGGAATGAGCGTAATCATCCTACTTGTATTGTTAGTGGACTGGTGGAAGAGCACTACTGAATGTGCAAGTGCACCAGATCTCTTTATAAAGCATCCCAAAATCATTAATCTGACTTTCCTCATGCAGGTGTATCTGAGGAGTAACTTCACTGAAGTGAATGAAATTACATTTTTCTGAATCTGATTCTCCTTTCATTTTCACCAGATACTCTGGCCACATAAGGATCATAAAAGGCAATAAAGAATATGTTCAGTAAATTTTACAAGTTGCAACTGAAACTCGGAGAGCTAGTCTGATAGAATCATAGAAAAACACTTTTAATTCAGTACTGAATAATCTCAGAACACGTACTCCTAGTTCTTGAAAATAGTCTTATTTGCACTCGGGCTTTACCAGTGCCTTTTTACCAAATATGGAGTGACTATGTCAAAACGCCTTGCAGATGAAATGTAATGGAAAAAAAAAAACTATCTGTGAAGTGAGATCATTTTATTTGCTCAACTTCTATAGTCCAGAGAAATAAGAGAGCATCTTTCAGGTTTTGAGCAACCTTCGTGAAGTCCGGGGAAGAGGTCATCACAATGTAAGCCAAGTGTCAGGAGTCAGGGAACCAGGCTGACTAATTAGCTTCCAGCTGGCCTTCGTTGTTTGCATGGGTGTGACTGCCTGTGGCCCAGTTACTTCCAGGTGGCCCCAGTTGCCTGCATGGGCATTGCTGTCTGCTTAAAAGCAGCAGCTCTTACAGTACCTAGCAGGCTACTCAACAGAACAGAAGCTTCTTTGTTTAGTTTTGGGCTTCTGACTTGCCATTTCTGATGCCAGCTTGGATCCCTGGTTCATTACTGCTGACACCTTGCTCCAGTCTGGACCCCTGCTTCTGACCCCTGACTGTCTATTCCTGAACCCCTGGCTTGTGGCTTTTTGGGGTTAAGCTCTGACTATTCATGCCCCTGTTGTTCTAACTTGTACCTGAGGTCAAGTAAGTTTAAATGAACTTAGGGAGTTGAGAGTCACATTTGAGATAGTAAGCAGAGTTTAGACTTCCTAGGCTGAACCTGCAGAGAGGAGCAGCTAAACTGAAGGACTTCTAGCAAGGGCTTCCCTACCCTGCAGTACAGTTGTAATCACTTTATTTAGGAAAGATGGCACATCCCCTAAGGGCAAGCGATGGACCTAGCCAGAGTTTAACCCTTTGAAAACAACCTGGAGGTATAATGAAGTAGGCTGACTATGCCACATTAGCCACTAACAACCACAAAAAGATACCTGTTCTTGCTATAGGGGGAAGTAATTGTTTTTTTGGTGGTGGTGATTAGGATTTTTTTGATCGTTTGTTTTGTTTCAGTTTTTCAACGCTGAAATATAATTATGCCACAATTATGGCCACAATTTTTAGAAGCTTTCTTTCAGTATATCAGTATAGTTTCTTACTCTTCCTGTGTTAGGGTTGCTAACTCTCCCACGTTGCCGACTCTGACGGACTCCCAGCCATCGATCTCTCGGTGACTATTGAAAGCAATCCGTGAGATTTTAATAGGATATTTTAAGAAAATGCATTCAATTAATGACACTGTCATGTTGGGGGAAAAAAAATCTCCTGGAATAGCTTCAGTCAGAGTTGGCAACCCTGTCCTGTATGGAAACACAGGACATGGCACACGTTCTGTGACATGGCTTGGATGATGCAGCATAAAGGAAAAAAGGCGTGAACAATTTCTGTATACTGGAACAACTTGAAGAGGAACTTTTCTTTGTAAGTTCTGAGGAAAGCTAT